CGATCAAATACACGGGATTATACAACAGTTGCGAAAACACTTTCGCGCGGTCGCGTCGCATTTATCTTCATCGTGCACGCGGTTCAAAGATTAGACAGTTACTGCCTGTATCCGTAAGCTAAATCAAAGTTGCATAAATCGATGTTGCCGAGAAAGTAACGATCACGTCGTCGAATATATCAACTTTCCGAAATTGTTTTCTAACTTTATATATATATGTAATTACACACACAAGCGTATATATGCATATATATATATATATATATATGAATCTCTGCTATGAAGATAATATAGATTAGATGAAGATAATAGAGATTTAAAAAACTACAGTATGTTTTTTTCTAAAATAGCTAAAACTCATGTACCTAACGCAGGTAATCTGACATTTTACTGTCTTGTAAGACATCGATATCGATAAAAGTTCGCTGGACTGAGATATTGACGGTTTCCAAATGCAATTTTGGCAAGTATGTAAGCGATGAGACGTAAAATTTCGCTCGAACACGCTGCACATTCGCATTCTTCCTACACATGGAGAACGTGTCGTTAAAAGTTAGAGCGCATACCCGTTACACGTCCCGCGCGTCTGATTATCTCTCTTCTTCTCTTTCTCTATCTTTCTATGTCCTTCTTTTTTTCTCTCTCTCTCTCCCTCTCTCTCTCTCTTTCTCATACACACACACACACACACATACACAAACGTAGACATTGCGCGCACGAGTGCAGCCGTGTAACGAGCCGTAATCTCGCGGTAATTTACGAAATGACAGTCCATAAATATTTCGTCCGTAAATTGTGATTACGGGTTTGATCGAAACCTCGCTCTCCCTCGTGTCCACGTCTCGATCTTCTTTCCGCTTTCGTACGGGCGATCGTATCGCGTTAACTGTAACCACGGTCACTGCGCGTCGCTCGACTTTAGCGAATCGCTTAAAAAAAAAAAAAAAGAAAAGAAAAGAAAAAAAGAACGAACATCGTGCGATTGACGGAAATCGAAATGCGGGACACAGATATGTACCAGAGCGATATGTCGGTATGTGTGTTGTACTAATTCTGGAAACGGATAGAGACGCGACGGCCGGAGATCGCTACGCGAGACGCGGAAAGGCGCGCACACGTGCGCGAGATAACGCCGTCTGCGTCGCGAGATATCGCGAGCAAATCGGAGAAGATTCTATTAACGCTCGATTAGTTACTCTGCGCGGTCTCGAGCACTCTCTCTAATGAATTTCAAACGTTATTACACGTTTTGAGCAAACCAAACTCGAACACAGAAAAAAAAAAAAATTCGTTACCGTTTCTTGGAAAGGAGCGTGTAAGACTCCTTGGTTGCGGCGCAGACTCTCATGCGCATTTTACGAACGGCCCTTTTGCGCACTCCGCCCTCGATAACTGGCATCCAGAAGATCGTTTTACCACCTTCGGATGCTCCTACCGTTGTTGTTGTTGTTGTTGTTGCTGCTGCTGCTGCTGCTCGACGAGGAACGATCGGCGCGACGACACCTTGCCGATCACTTTGCGCCACGGGCGCGTTCTCCGCCCCTTGACGACGACGCGACGGACCTCGCATTCGACTCACGTCGCGATCGGCATGGCGCGATTAATCCTCCACCTTCCTCCCCTGTCGTCCCTCTACGCGAAGAAAAAGACGGCGAACGCGCACAATAATTATTTCGTCCGCTCACGGTCGATTTTTCCGCGTGCGGGTGAATATAATTTACAATCGGTGAGCTCCTCCCCGTTGCTGTCCTCCCTTATCTCGAGGTCGCCCCCTCACCGATGATTCTCGCGGTTCTCTTTTTGTTATCTTCTTTTTCTTCAGTCCGGCTCGAGAGAGAGAGTCTCCGCTTTGCCTCGCTCGTCTATTCGATAACCATTATCGAGATAAGAACGTTCTCCGCGTGCGCAGCCTGCGGGCCCGAAAGTATTCTTTTAACTCTTTGATGGATGCGACGTCTCACGCTGAATTCGTGTGCTTTTGACGCGCGTAGATCGGATGAAGATAAAATCGCCGAAAGATTAAGATCTAGCGCTACGGCCGGCAATTTTTTGTGATGTGAGTCTGTGACTATTTGCTATTTAACTTTGTAACAAAGTTTCTCAAGTAAGAAGAGCTGTCTTATGTTGGTTAACCAAACAAGAGATTTTTTTAAGTTTATTAACCGAAACTTATTCATCGATTTATCATTAAAAAATGTGTAAACTAAATATGAAAAAACTAAGTCGTAATTTTTAACTCAAAAATTTCAAAATACTAAAAAGTATCTACTATTTTAATATTATAAATTGAATAATATCTTACGAATTAATTCCGTTATTGCGAATATAATTGGTTTTGTTAGTACAGAGTTAAAAACAAAATATTCCCTTGTTTTAAATGAGTACTTTTAACTGATTTATTAAATGTGACACGCTCGCAGCAAATGAGGACAATCGATTTCGCGGATACCGTTTTAAAAATTAATGTGTAAACATTAATTCGAACTCGCGCAATTGTCTCAAGCAATTTGAGAGATTGATTATAATTTTTTTCTCTGAAAGATATATAACACTGAGATTAAAAGTTTCCCCGAAACGAAATAAAAAATTACGTATTTCCTCCTAGAACTAGAGCACTCACTTATTTATCACATATCACACATTGCCACACGGCGGAAATGAAACTTTTTTCTTCAGAAAAATATTTTCGCGTTAAAGATATAAACTTTGCTGTCGCGTTAAAAAAGAAACAAATATACAAGTAAATGCGACATGTTGTAAATTAAAAACTCGCTCAACATAAAAATCTTTTAAACTTCGAATTTTCAACGAGTTACGTCTTTGGTATAACAAAATCGAGTTTTTTAGACATTCAATGTTGACATTCACCATCCGAAAGAAAAATTTCAAAATAATGACACTTTTGTAATTAGCAAAACCGTTAAACTCAAATTTAGACCAAAAAAAAATGCAAACGGTAATAAAAATACGATTTTCAGCGAGTGGACAAAAACAAATTTATGCGGAGCAAAAATTTTTACTCACAGTTAATGCACGATAAACGAATAATTCTTCGAGCAACAAGACAAGCGGTGCAGTTATCAGCCGCTCTTATATCGCTCGGATTTTTCCGGGAAACGAGACTCTCTCGGTCGAACGTAGACCTTTGAATCCACGCACGTCGGTTTTCAATCACACAATACGTAACCAGAATTTAAAACTACTACTGATAACATCTGATCATTGATTAAGCCACTCGATTAATAATTTTCTGTCCGCAACAATCATTTCATCGACAGAAATGGGAATTGAAAATTAAGGTAATCGGAAAATAGTAACCGAGTGCTTTCAGTGCTGGTATCGATTTCGCGTCGCCTTTGTTCACGCGCGAGTTTGCGATACAGGAAAAGCCTCCGGATTTCCAGTGCAAATTTGCCGTTATATGTGTGGTCGAACACACTAAACCAGCACACCACTTTAAGTCAAGCACGTGTTTACGTGAACGAAAAAAAAAAAAAAAAAAAAACAATCGGCACGAATCTTCATAAATTTTTGTAAATTATCGTACATTCAGCCCAAACGGAAGAATTGCTCACACGATTGCAAGTTCTTTTCTTCAATTTTCTGTTAAAATTTTGCGCTACAATTAAATTTAAATGTCTTACAGAAGAAATATCACAATTCGAACGATTATCGATACAAGGTTTCGATGAGCGTGTTGTAAATCGTTGTGTGTGTTTTTCACTACTTCGATCCGCGACCGAATGATAAACACTGTATCGTCACAATAATGACAACCGATACACTCGAAGAAGAGATCGGCAGGACACTGCTCCACGATGAAACACGCGAGCGCTCCGAGATCGAATGCGAGAGCACCATGCGGAGGCAATGCGTCACGCGCGCTCCCTCCATACACGTCGTAAGACCCCGGCAGAGGCGCACCGGAGGGGATAAGAGTAACGCGGTGGGTCGCGCTGCTGGAGGGGGACGAGAGATGTCGAGTGACGTGGGCCCCGGGGAGAAAATAACATACCCCCGTCTCTGTCCGGCAACTCCACTGACAACCAAGAGCCCGCGCATCGAGTCTACTGCTTCTTTCCCTCTCTGTTCCTTAGATTTTCTGTCGCGTTTTCCTCCTCGATTTCTCTCTATGTCTCTCTGTCTTTTTCTCTTTATCGCGTTGTCTTTCTATCTTCCAACGCCCGAGTACACCTTTACGAGCGCACCTACGCCTCTTCTTCCACAGCGATATTACGTACTCCACATGAGGCTATATTACTTGTATGATAACGTGAGAGTACTTTACGGATAAAAGTGTTCTAGGGTTTTTGAAAGCTGGATAATTAGGAAAGAGATCAAATTGTTTTAGTGTTTCCTAAAACAGGCCATCAATTTTCTTGAGCGTTCGGAAAAACATAAAAAGAAAAGAAGCAAGCGAGCGTGACAAAGCGAGTGAACAGTTCTTGTCTCGGAACTGCAATCGAAGAAAACTTCGGTACTTTTATCCGGAAAGTGCTGTATTTCATGAGCACCGTCATGCTCTGCGCGCTCTAGGTGCCTTGAAAATAAAGACGTATAGGTACAAAGAAGATTCTTGTAAAAACTTCGATTAATTTGTAGATTCCATAAATTATCCTTTTATGTTTTCGTAAAGTTTTAAGATTTACTGAGAAATGTGCTATATGTTTAAAAAAATATATATTTTCGCGCTTATACACGTGTTATCATTTGAAAGAATGAATATCTTTATGATATAATTGAAGTAATAATTTGCTCAACATTTTTTCTATACTTTTTATACTACTTTTTATGAATAATTGTTAGAAAAAATTTATTGCGGTAAAACGTTGTACTAAACAACTTCGACTGACATATTTCCTCAAGTGTCAAGTCATTCTAATATGCGCACACGTATTATGCGCAACTTTAATTTAACTTGCCAATTATCTGATATTGTTCTTTGATGTTGGAATACATTATCAACACAAATGAAATTTCATTCCTCAGTTAACTTCTACGCAGTCAAAGTTTAATACTGATAACAGTAACATCGAGAATTTCCAGAATTCTCTTCGCGAGCATTTGTGAAGGCACAATGGCCAGTCAGACGTAAGAACGATATTACTCATTCTTAGAAAACAAAGAGAAAGAGTAAGAGTGAGAGGTTTTAAAGTATTATTAAATTTTCTTTAATATTGTTATAGTGCATGCACTTAATTAAAAGAAAGACGGTGGCAATATGAGATGTGTAGATAATATGGAATATTCTTAAGTGACAAATTCTAGTTATAATTCGTGGAAACTTTATTTTAGTATTTTTTTTTTTTTATGGCAACGATGAGCAGCATTAAATTATTCCAATGTTTTAGTAATCAATCAGTCAAAATGGCGGAAAGTGAGATCGCACAATTTTTCTCGGGTCGTAAAGTTCTTATAACAGGTGGCTTGGGTATTTTGGGAAAGCTTCTAATCGAAAAATTGCTGCGGTAAGTCCGATAGCTTTCATTTACTCCTGATGAAAATTTGTTTTAAAATATTTTCGCGGCACCTCCGAGAAATGGTTCCAATTGCTAAAACAATAATCTGTAAAAAAGTTCAGCCCGATCGGATAAGAGGAATATTACAATTACTGTACTGAACTGACGGTGTTATTGTTTTAAATTTTTGTCGAAAACGTTAGTCGTGCAAAAAAAATAATACATGATAAAATATTTTTCTGACCCGGATCTACAAACTTTTGTTTAACATGTTTTTTGATGCAATTAATACGTTGGAAGATAATCAAGTAAAATCGATTCATTATGCATTTAAATAATTTTTAATGTTTAAGGGTCTCTCTTTTTTTCCTTATTCGCTTAACTTTTTCACCGATTATTTATTTAGCAATTTAGGAACCATTCTAGGGTGCCGCGAAAAAATTCAAAAGTCGAAAATAAGAGCCATCTTAGTGGCAAATCATCAAAACATTTCTTCACGCAAACTACATAAATATTGCTGTTCGCACAGATGCTGTAACGTCGCAACGGTGTACGTTCTTGTGAGAACAAAAAAGGGAAAGGTTCCTCGTGAACGCGTGAAGGAACTTGTTAAACTACCAGTAAGAATTGCTTGTCGTTCATGAAGGAAATATCTCAAAATTTGCGAAAAATAAAACAAAAACAATTGTACAAATATTATCATTATTTGAAAAATATACTTTTAGTTGTACGATAGACTGAGACAGGAACAGCCCGATGCTTTTCAAAAATTAATAATAATCGAAAGCAACTTGGATGCGATGAATATGAGCTTATCTCAGCAAGATCGAAACAGATTGCTCGATACGAACATCATCTTTCACGGTGCAACAATCATGCGATCCAATCAAAAGCTTAGGGTCATGACAAATGTCAACGTCTTCGCTACGAAGGAAATACTTCAGTTAGCGAAAGAGATGACCGATCTCAAGGTAATAATTACTTTGTAGTGATTTTATCATAAGAATTGCGTTAAATGATATTCAAGATAAATGCAAAGTAACATTTTCAGGCTTTCGTTCATATGTCGACCGTCTACGCTCACGCGCAAATTAAATCTATCGAGGAGAGACATTATCCCCCGCCCATGGAGACCGATGACTTACTAACATTGATGAACGTTCTAAGTGATAAGAAGCTGGAGGAGATCACACCGGCGTGAGTACTTCGACATCGCATTTGTTCGACATTTAATCGAACATTTTTCAAGTTTTATTTCTGCGCGCGCAATTTTTCACGGAATTCTTTGGAAAATTTTCATGGAATTTTTGTAACTCTTATTTTTTTTTAATTCTTTATTACAGCTTGATCGGTTGCTGGCCCGACACGTTTACTTTTACGAAAGCTATCGCGGAGCACACGGTAGTGAAATACAGCAAGGGGATACCGGCGTGCATCGTGCGGCCGTCCGTCGTGACTTCGACGTGGAAAGAACCGATCGAGGGTTGGACCGACAGCATGTACGGACCCGTCAGCCTTCTCGTGGGTTCGAGCCTTGGTTTATTGCGCACGATACACTGTCATACTGACAAGAAGCTCGACTTTGTACCGGCAGATTACGTGACGTCGAGCATGATCGCGGCCGCCTGGCGAACTAACGTGAGGTGAAGCTCATTAATCTGCTTATTAGAAGGAACTTTGTCTTTATTAAGATAGAGCCGCGCGACAGCGATCGATGTCAATAAAGCGGATAGAAAGAACAATCCAAAGGGGATTGTTTCTGCGGAGAGGAATTGACGTGCGCACACAAATTAAAATCCAATTTCTGTTGGCAGGAATATCAAGAAAGAATTTAAAGTGGACGTGGAGACCGGCTTAGTGCCGGACGTGGAAAGGATAGCGGTGTACAATTACGTGTCGTCGTGTCAGAGGCCAATAACCTGGAACACATTCCGAAAACACGTACGCGCACACGAATCAAAGATACCGGGTGTGAGGGACATACAACTGCAATGCGTGTTTTGGAACAGTAGACTTTGGGTGCACAAAATTCTCATGTGCCTGTTCCACTTGTTGCCCGCGGTCATGGTGGACGCGACGGCCATTCTCACCGGCCGAGAGCCAAGGTCGGATGTATTTTCTTTTCTCTCAAAATGCATTTACATATAAATATACACATATAGTGCGAGTGCGCGTATATGTGGATTGCGGAATATTACCAGAACTGTGTGAAGACGTTCGAGCTTATCTTGTTGTAAATTTGACAAGATTTATTTTTACGTATAAAATTGTACAAACAAATGTACGCTGAAGATAGAGAAATCAAGACAAACTCAGATATTTTAAATTATTGTCATTAATTGTATAATTGTTTTTTAGATGGTACAAAACTTACAAACCGATACACGCTCATCTCTCGGCGATGTCTTATTTTACGACACAGGAGTGGTACTTAAAAAATGACACGGTGCTCAAGTTATGGAAGCAAATGAACCCGGTGGATCGCGAGATCTTTGAATTTGACATGAGCAATTTCGATTGGAACGAATATATAAAACGGATGGTTCACGGCATTCGCGATTTTGTCAACAGAAATGCGTTGGACTTGGCGAAGGAAAGATTGGCTGAATATATCGTATTCTAACACTGTACATGTGCTCATAAAACATCTAAATGACATTTATATCACTTGAAAACAATAATGCTATTATAAAAACTATTTGAATAAAGAACAATCTCAAACACATGATAAAAAACCCGTTATCTTGTCACAACAAAACATATCTTAACCTAACATAACAAGACAATGTATAACAACCGGCGATGAACGGTCGCCGGCGAGTGAAAGTGAAGAGAAATTAGAAAAGATTGGGAAATAACGGCATGTACAATGTGCACGATAAGGTACAAAGTCACGACGGTGATTTATCGATAGTCGATTCGTCGGTGATCCAGAACAAATTCTATAATGCGACGGGTTATCACACGTGCCTAATAATACTCAAGCATATGTGTCATACGCTCATAAATCATGATGACAACAATGCGGCCTGTTCGGTCTGTCATTTCAGAGAATACAAAATGTTAACGATCACTTTGTTGCACAAGATCAAAAAGGTCATCAAAAATTGTTTTTTATTTTTATTTTATATTTCCTCTTTTATGCCAATTTATTTTACTATCGAGAGAGAAGAATTTTATTTTTTTTATCGTTTAACTAGATTATATTTTGTTGAAAATTCGTTACACTTTTTCTATTTTTCCAACATCCCGATTGTTTCGTTTTGCTCTATTTAATTATGACCGATGATAATCTACACACTGTGTGATGTAGCACCGTGATTGTAATCAACGATTGACCGTAGCTCACCGTGCATTATTTTGCTTGGTAACCGCATCTCGTGCATCCGAACATGCGGTGCACCCGTTAACGCGACTCTTGCGTCTACCTACACACGGCGTGTTCGCTCACCAGCCATCTATCTACATATCTATATCTTACCTACCTACCTACCTACCTACCTACTCACCTACTAGCGCGAATGGATTCGCGCGACCGTCCCGTTTCCGCGGCGCTTTGTGCGCTGCTCTAAAAGCCGGTTTCTCGGCACATCGGGGGAGCATTCAGATTCCAATTTTGTAAAATTACGCCAACTGTTGGAACGTATTTGAATTAAATTTGCAATTTGTTATAGACTGGCGCGAACGATTGCCAGGCGTTACGTCGATTGTTGTGCGTTTCTATCGTCACGGATGAGCGCCGGAATAAATTTTCGAATTGAATACAGCGAAATTAAATCACACTCGCAAAATACCCGGCTGAATCACCAGAACCTATACGTCCACGCATACATATAGATTGTGAACGTGTTGGATTTACACGGGAATAAAGAAAAGTTTATTCCACGCGGAGAGAGAAACGCAATCGGTGAAACAAATCATGTCGGATATTAATCAGTGCGAGAAATAGATTCTCGTTAGGTAAACGTTACAGAAAAAGAAACAAAATAAAAAAGCCGATTTTATGCATTTATATTTGAAAGCATATAATATTTTTCCAAATAAAGAATGTGCCAAATGCGAGCACCTATTATCCGTGATAAGAATGACGTAACAAGAATTACGTATATAGTAGTTGTTTAATACGCGAAAATAATATTCTTTCTCTTTGCTAATAATGGCTGAGAAGCACATTGTGAAAAGTCGTGGCTCGGTTATTAAACTAAGGGGGAAAAAAAAAGAACGGAAACACAATAGCGCTAGTTGCGTAACGCAACACACAAAGTGTGGTGACTGACATAGTTGCGCGATATCCAGTATCTTTGCGTGTTTAATATAGTGAACACGTGCGTAGGCGACCGTTATTTTTATATTCGCTCTTGTAAAATGACGTTGCGATATAAAGTAAGTAAACCGCAAAACATTTTCTTCAAATAAAATTTCGTCCTCGATATGCATTTAGTTTTATTTTATATCATTGCTCTTTTTCAACGACAATTTTGCGAACCGAAAATATTCGGTTGGAAAAACGAGACGTGCGAGAGCAAATAAACAGTAACAACAGTAACGCGTGAACGCGCTCGATCCTCTCTCCTTCATTCGAAGCGAATCGGATACAAAATAAAAAAAAAAAAAAAGAAGGGAACGATATGATGCGCGCAAAGATAAAAAGAATCGGTCGATTCTCGTTTCTAACCCTTTTGACAGAACATCCTCCGTTTTGACAGAGCTTGACGAATCCTGACACAAGAAACGAAAGCAGCTTTCGAAAAGCGATAGAAGAGGGAACAATTGAAATAATAAACCGAGAGCATCGTTTCGAGGGGTGCATTCGCAGCAAAAAAAAAAAAGACGGCATAAAAGCCTTTTATTTTAAGGATACGTGTGTGTTGTGTATTTTTAATCAACTTTCTCGGGTATTTTTTAAAATTTCATTTGTGCGAGTATTATTATTTTAGATTAGAATAGAACCCTATTTTTAAATCTGTGTGGATGGCTTTACGTTTCATAATCAGCATAACAAACTGTTGTCCTAATTAAAAAAGTAGATTTTATAGTTTACTCTATATTTGACGATTTTAATATATTTTTCTTAAAAAATAGCTTAGAAAAAACACAAAACGTGGAGTTGTGAGGATCAATTTTGCGGAATAATATGAATTTCTCGAGTACAATAGAGGAAACGACAAAAACCCACCACTCACTCGTCCGCCTGGAAAATGCCAATCGAAACGAAGCGGGAACGAAAGACCCAGGAGGGGTGCTTCAGAAAAACCTGCTGCACGCGTGCGACACAGGGTAGCCGATTTTGTTCATTTGCTTGTTCGTGCGCCGCGGTCTCATACAATGCGAACCAAAAAAAGAGCGATGCAATGCGTTATTATTAATAGCACACAGAAGGGATGCAGGCATGCGAGAACAAGATTCCTGATTGGGGTAGAGATATTTGTCTGTCTCTTTTCCCGAGGGTTGTGAGGTATCTCGCTCCCCCCCGTTTCAATTTCGCGCACGCTGCGATGTCAGAGTTCATCTCCAACAGATTAATTTCGCGGCTTTGAATGAATCGAGAGATTCTGTCGTTTTGATCGCTTTTTTTTGTCGGTTGCGCTTATTCGGTAAAAATTGAGGTCCTAAACAATGCGACGAAAATTACACGCGAAGACTCGCACAAATTTGAAAGAGATCTCGCATATTTATCGAATACATGTAAAATGTAAGTAAAACACCCGATTATAATATTTGATTCGACGACCACGATATCTATCGACGTGTTTCACCGAGAGAAAGTTGCGCGAATTAATTAAAAAATAAATTTACAAAATGAGTCACAGTCTAAAAGTCAATTTTTGTTCTTTAATCAAGAAACGTTCTTTCGGAACCGCAATTAAATTCGAAAATAATGTTCGATAACAATAAGGTAGGATGCTCATTCTTGAAAACAAAAAAGAAACATATTGTGAATCATCATAACAACAAAACCTTTCTATAAATAATGATTGCGTGTTTCGTCGTATAAATATTCGAACTTTGAGCTGCTGTTGCACTCGACTGACTGCTCAATTGTTCGGCGCAAAGCAGCCACGAACGAATCTAATTGCTACACACTTGCGGAGTTCAACGAGGGTTAACTGGTACACCTAAAGCACTATACGTCTACGAAGAACAACAAAACTTCAAGAAATACTAACGGCGCGACGCGTCACAGCTCGATTTTCCTGTTCTTATTTCCGGCACGCGATTTCCGGCGAGCTAAATCCGAGAAGGTGCATCGAGACATCCTCGTGCCACGCTACGGAACTGGTAATTACAGTTAGCGAGGGCGATAAGTATCACTGCTCATAAAATACTCCCTGTCGTCGCGCGGATCTATACGGGGTGTCCGGGATATTTAATAACTGACGAAATATATTTAATCTCAATGTAGAATTCACGTGAAACTCGCGATTTAACGCACCTAGTAGTAAATTTTCAAATTTAATTACTTCTTAGTCGGTAAGTTTTTATGTGTTACACATTCAAACTTACGTGTAAACGTAAAAGTTATTTACATACGTGACTGATTACCTACAAAAAAAACTCTAAATATTTTTGAAAGTTGCATACAATGTTGAGACATTGTCGTTTCCGCGGGATTAACATCGTAGCAAGGAACGTCGACAAAGCGGCGAGCGTGCGAAGCGTCCACGTTTCTCTCTCTGTCTCGCCTCGCGCGAGTAAAACGAATGGAAATCCTTCTTCCTGTCGGCGCTTCGTAAATCGAGCTGATGTCCCTTTCCACGGAGACGTTGACTAACGACGTATAAAAGCAGGATGTAAAGGTACGTACCGTTGCCGCGCGCGAAAGGATAAAAGAGATCAAAGAAACCGAGATGCAACGTCTTATTATCCGCAAAAGAGTCCGTCTATTTATATTAGCGCTTAAAAACAAAAAAAAACAGCTTATTATTCTCGACGCTTTGAGACCCGCGAATAGCTGATATAAACACTTTTTTTAGTATAATTAAGTTTTCTTGACTTTAGATAGAAATTTTTTTCCAAGAGTTGATTCTGAATCCGATGAATTCATTATTTTAAACGTCTCTCTTTCTCTCTCTTTTATTCTTAAATAAAAATAAAACTAAAAATTGTTTAAATGTTTGTATCGCGGATTTAAATATGTACCTACATAACTTGATACATCGTCATGAGAGATGCTATTTTATACGCTGATTTGCATGCGTGATTTCTATCAGTCTTCTCGCGTGGTCGCGACACGCAAGATTAGGAACACGCAGCGGAATCGAGACGCGCGCGAGAGTATACCTGCGGATACTTTCGTATTCAGCGATTACCTGCTCTCAGGCGGAAAGCAAATTCTCGCGAACACTCGCGGCGAGAGCTCGATATTCCTCTGTGCGTTGTTGTTTGCGAACACGCAGGTACGTGCAAATAAACACGCGTACGTGCGATGGTATACCGGGTGTCAGTAAATAACCACGTTTTCTATACAAATTATTATTTAATATTGAGCGTTATTATGGTATAATTATGAATTATTAAACATTACATGATTACACGATTGAACGTTAGATGATTATGTGAAAATCTAACTCGGCGTAATGTTATCGTCACGTGTTATTAAAGTTAGAAGCGCGAAAAGTAGAATATCAGCTTTCTCTCTCTCTTTTTCTCGGTTGAATCATCATTTATTTCGTATCCTGCGACACTTATGATTCGAGAAGCGACGCGCTCATGGTC